GGAGGGACCAACTGCCCAGGGCAAAGGATGGCTGTTAAGTATCGGAGCCATCTGCAATGGACACAAGGCACTGGAAAATGACCAGAGCCACCTTTTGAGAGCACAGGATACCTACAAAGGTCACAGAACATCTGCAGAAGAGTAGGTGTACCTGTTGAGGGGCACAGAACATGTACATCTGCAAAGTGGCAGTACACTTTCATAGGACACATCTTAAGGACCAGGGCCTTCTGCTAAGATTCAGAGCCACCTGGTGAGAGCTCACAGCACCTGCTGAAGGGCAAGGGCACCTGCTCAGCCACAGAATATCTGCAGAATATCAGGGCCATCTCATAAAGGCATAGGGCAGCTGCAGAAGGGCAGGGCCACTTTCTGAGAGCATGGGACACCTACTGAGGACACAGAACACCTGCAGAGGGGCAAGGTCACCTCCTGAGCACCATTATCAACTGTTGACAACACAGGACACTGGCAGAAGATTATGGCCACCAGCTAAGGCACAGAACAGCTGCAAAGGACCCAGGACAGCTGTTGGTTGGCAGAGTCACCTGTTGAAGGCTGGGATATCCACAGAATAACAGAGTCAACTACTGAGGGCAAAGATGTGGGTTACCTGCTCAGGGACAGCATCACCTACTGAGGACCAGGGTCACATACTGAAGGCAGGGTCACCTACTGAGGCAGATCCCATGCTGAGGGTCAAGATTACCTATTGAGTGGAAGATTTACCTATTGAGGGGCAGGGTCACCTACTGACGGGCAAGGTCATCTTCTGAGGGGCAGGGACTCTACATAACCTTCTTGGTCATTGGCAGTTATGAATGTTCTGGCCTGTGCATGTGTCTTATGTGTGATGTGCAAAGGATGGGTGAATGTCCTGTGTCGGAGGAGGTGACAGGGCAGCCAGTTTATGTGGACATCTGCCCACAAACTGTGCCGCTGCATAGTGGGCAGGTGCAGATGGTGAGCCTGAGTAAGGGCAAAGGCTGTGTGTGGGGGGATCTGGGAGAGTGGCAATGGGTGTGGGGGTAGGGGAGTGGGGAATGCTGGGAGGAGACAACTGGGTGGGGAGTGAGAACAACAGGTGTGGTTGGGTGAAGGGGAGAGGAGAGTGCTCACAGCATGCAGGTGCAAGTAGTATACCTGGGAAAGTGAGAGATACAGGTGTGATTGGGGGAGCAGTGCTGGACCTGAGGGAAGTGGGGAGGAGGCCTGGGCCTTGGGTGAAAGCCCTGGGCCCTGTGAGGAGCCCTGGGATGTGGAGCTGCTGACCCCTAGTCCAGGCCCCTGACCCACCTCGTCTATGTCCCCTAGCCCTCTGTCCCCTCATCTACCCCGTTCAAGGCAACTTGCCCACCGGGTCCGTGCCCCATGACCCTCTACCCCCCAGGACACCGCATGGGCTGCAAGAGAAAGGGCAGCTAAGTGGTGGCCGCTGGCACCTGCCTGGGCCTCCTGGACTGGGATTCGCACAGCTGGACAGACACAGGTTCAGTGATGGACAGACAACAGGTTCAGTGATGGCAAGGCCAATCCCGCGGGAGGTTCATGGCAGGTGGGCACCGAAGGGGCTGTGGTCATGTGGTCACGAAGATTGTTGGGGGGGTGTGAAGGGCTTTGGAATCCAGGTGCTTCTCCATGGAGACCAGGGATATGGCTACTCTACCCCACCCTCTGCCCCTTCCTATCTTCCCCCCTCTTGGGCAAACACACCTGTCCCCCGCTGAGACCCCAGGAACACCTGGTTCACTGACTACAGGTGGCTAAGGGACTACTTGGCACCCAATGCGGAGCTTGGTGAATGACAAGTGACATAGAGTGTCCTGAGGACATGGGCTGCGATGCTTCAGACATCCCCCACTCTGATGGAGGAAGGTCATTGGCTAATAAAGGAACTGCCTTGGCCCATTTTATTGGTTGAAAGATAGGTGGGAGGAGTAGGCAGAACAGGACGCTGGGAGGAAGAGGAAGTGAGCTCACTCTCGACAGCTCTCCTCTCTGGAGCAGACGCCTGAGAGAGACGCCATGCCCCACTCCCGGGCAGACACACGCCAGAAGCTCCGACCCAGGATGGACTAGGCTAGAATCTTCCCGGTAAGACCGGTGCTACAGTTTATTAGAAATGGGTTGATCGGGATATCAGAATTAGCCAGTCAGGGCTAGATAGAAATGGGGCAAGCGGTGTTTAAATGAATACAGTTTGTGTGTTGTTATTTCGGGCATAAGCTAGCTGAGCAGGCGGCTGGGGTGTTGGGGACGCAGCCCTGCCGCCCCTTAATACTACACCACTCCTGGGCGTCTTCTTCTGACTTGGTGTCCCCCAGTTACTTCAGTATCTCCAAAACTGCCTCTGTGCCTCCCAACTGCCTCAGTGCTCCCCCACTTACTCTGTGTCCCCTCTCACTGTATCCGTATCTCCCAACTACCTTGGTGTCCCCTGTAACATGAGGGGCTGGCTTACTTGTTTGTTGGGGTTTCTGCCCCCCCCATACCCCAAAACTGTTTAGCCCCAAAGAAAATCACACATAGGTCTCTATAAATTATAAGCTGATTGGCCCATTAGCTCTAGCCTCTCACTGGCTAACTCTCACATCTTCATTAACCCATTTTCTGATCTATGTTAGCCATGTGGCTCAGTACCTTTTTAAGTGGGGCCGATCACATCCTGCTGCTTCCGTGATCTGGAAAGGAGTGGGAGGAATCAGCTTCCTCCTTCCCAGAATTCTCCTGTTCTCCTTGCATCATTTTTACTTCCTGTTTGGTTTTCCCACCTATACTTTCTGCCTGACCAATCAGCAATTATTTAAAACATGATTGACAAAATACAGACAATTCTCCCGCACCAGTCCTCCTCTGCTGCTTCTGGGTCCCCAACATACATGGTATGTCCACCCACCTAAGCCCTCCTCACCCTGAGGCCACATGCCTATGCCTAAATACCAGGCCTTCCTCACCCTGGCCGGCGCAATCCTCCTTCTCACCCCACGCAGACACAGAGAGTCCTCGAAGACGTTCTTGATGCAGTCTATGAGGTACTTGTGCAAGTCTCCTGTCATCCCCTCAAAATTTCTGCTGGCCAGGATGATGACCTCATGGGGGTGTGTCCAGCCACTCGGAGATCTTGGTGAGGGTGCCCTAGGGACATCTAAGGGACACATGATGACATACATTAATCTCCACCCTTCCCCCAGCTACTCCTGGTCCCCCCCCCCCCAGTCCAGCACAGTGGACGTGGGGGGGAACGTGTGTTCAAAGTGCAGATTCCTCTGCAAGCCACTCTGCACATGAGCAATCCACAGATCCAGACACCCCTGCTTCCAGCTGCTTCATCACGTCAAGGGTCTGGGGCAGACGGCGGGTCAGGGCTCATTCCTGGGGTGTCACTGTGACCACCATGCATAGCACCCCAGGACACACCAAAACCTAGACAGCACCCTGGGACTCACAGTCACCTCCACCTGTCCATCACGGGGTCCCTAACCTTGCCCCTGGGGCTCTCAGTTCCTTCCCCATAACCTGCCCATCACCAGGACCCTCCCTCATGCCCCATTCACCTGCATCACCTACACCTCCCCCAACCCCCTGCCCTGTCCATCACCAGCAGGTCCTCCCCCACGCCCACTCACCTATGACCATCTCAACACCAAGGGCTTCATAATTCAGGCAGTATGTCATGGTGTCATGGCTCTCTGAACAGACACACGTCAAAGCCAACATGTGTTTGTCCTGGCCCTAAGGACCCCACGGAGTCCCTTGGGCTCTTTCCATCTGTCTGTCCTTCTGTCTGTCGGTTCTTCTTCTCCACGACCCCTTTACCCACGACCACCCACGCAGGTTATAGGACCTTGTATCTGACAGCCCAGGTTCCCCGTGTCCTGCCCATTTCCCCCCAGCTCCTTTCAACCCTCCTAGAAGCTTCATTGGGGGCTATCCTTCCTGTCACAGCGCACAAGCGGGTGATTCCCGCCTCTAGGGGGACCCCCAAGGCTTCCAGACACCCACACATGTTCCATTTGTGCTATGGAGGACACTGCAGGGCATGTGGGGTGGGGTAAGGAGGGCATGGGTGAGTGATGTCGGGGTGAGAACTGCACGGGCACTGCGGTAAGGAATCCGTGGCCGCCCAGGGTGTGGCCTTGTGGGTGTGTGGGCCCCTAGCTGTCCAATCCTCAGTCTCAATCAACCAACCCCTCCCTCACTCCCATACAGGACATCACAGCGGCAGCTGTGAGTGCATGGTCAGCAAGTGATTGTGTCCTATGAGGATGAGACCTCTGTGGCCATCACACGGAGCTGTGGCCAGGGATCCCTTACTGATGGGGCGACAAGAAGAATACGCAGGTGCTGCTTTAGTACTTGGAGACCATGAGGAGTTATGGCCACCCAGGTGCCACCTGGGACACAGCTAGGAATGGGTGGCACTGAAGTCACCTGTCAGATGGGGGTGGGTGTCTGTGAGGATGTCATCTGGCAGTCATATGGGGTCTGTGGGGATGTCATCTGTTAGTCACATGCTGTGACGTTATCCCTTGCAGGCGGCCTGTTTGAGCTGGCATCAATCTTACGGAGTGTAGTAGAGGGTGAGAGCTGCATCCCGCCGCCTGGCTAGCTTAACCCCCGAAATAACTACACAGAAATTGTATTAATTAAATTACTGACTGGCCCATTAGCTCTAGTCTCTTACTGGCTAACTCTCACATCTTGATTAACCCATTTCTATTAAATCTGTGTATCATCCAAGAACATGGAGGGGCAGAACACAGGTGGGGAGAGCTGTGGGAGGGCAGTGTTCAGTCCTCCTGTCCTGGATCAGCCACAGCACCATTTTCAACTGAGACCCTACCCCCCTTTCCCCAGTGAAATAGACCCTCCCCATTTCCTCCCCGAGTGATACAGACACTCCCCATCCCTTCCCTTCTCCAGTGAAAGACACTCCCCTCCCCTTCCCCCGTGACACAGAACCCCACAGAGCCCACACATCGCCAGCCAAAGAGAGGGAACAAAGTGCAAATCCTGCTTTAATGAGCTGCCAGTCAGGGAGGAAGGAGGAGGACTACATGGGGCCATCCACAAACACCCTCCCACGAGCTGAATCCATATCTGGTCCTGGTTGTCACTCAGGGAACAGCTGGGAAAGAAAAAGTGGTGGGACAATACCATGGCCAGAATCTGTATCCACACCCCACTCCAGGCTGTCACTCAGGAAACAGCTTCCGGAAACGGCCATAGGTGGCTTGGCTGATGATAACGGTCACATGGGCCATGTCAGTGTTGGGCAGCTCCTGCACCTGCTGCACCTTGGCCTCCTTGTACAGCCAGCTGTAGAGAAAGAGACCACTGTGGTGCATGCTGTGAAGTGGGCTGATGTCAGTGTGGTGCCTGACGATGGGCAAAGGGTGGTTGCAGGCTGGGAAGCCAAGTTGACATCAGCATCGTGCAGGCTGGGAAGCATGTAGATAGTGGGGCATGTCCCTGGCAAGGAATCAGCTGTATCTATGTATGTGATAGCCCACCGCCCAAGCACCCTGTGACTCACCAGAGCTGGGGTCCCCCAAGCCGTAAGCAGAGGGTGAGCACCCGCCGGCCAGTGGCCTGCAGAACCGACTCCTCCAGTGTCGCCTTCAGCTTGTCTAGCCCATGGCCCAGGAGTGCAGACACGGCCGGGACATGGTGCCCTGGGGGCCTGTACCTGTGTGGAAGAGGTTCAGTGGGTAAGAGGAACCATGGGGTTATGTGGACATGTGTGGTGTAGATAGGTGAGATGAGGACAGGTGCAGTGAGCACAGCTGTGGTGAGGACAGGTGAGATGAGGACAGGTGCAGTGAGCACAGCTGTGGTGAGGACAGGTGAGATGAGGACAGGTGCAGTGAGCACAGCTGTGGTGTAGATAGGTGAGATGAGGACAGGTGCAGTGAGCACAGCTGTGGTGAGGACAGGTGAGATGAGGACAGGTGTAGTGAGCACAGCTGTGGTGAGGTCAGATGAGGTGAGGACAGGTGCAGTGAGCACAGCTGTGGTGAGGACAGGTGCAGTGAGCACAGCTGCAGTAAGGACAGGTGCAGTGAGCACAGCTGTGGTGTAGATAGGTGAGATGAGGACAGGTGCAGTGAGCACAGCTGTGGTGAGGACAGGTGAGATGAGGACAGGTGCAGTGAGCACAGCTGCAGTAAGGACAGGTGCAGTGAGCACAGCTGCGGTGAGGTCAGGTGAGGTGAGGACAGGTGCAGTGAGCACAGCTGTGGTGAGGACAGGTGAGATGAGGACAGGTGCAGTGAGCACAGCTGCAGTGAGGTCAGGTGCAATAAGCACAGTTGCGGTGAGGACAGGTGTAGTGAGCATAGCTGCAGTGAGGATAGGTGAGGTGAGGACAGGTGCAGTGAGCACAGCTGCAGTGAGGACAGCTGTAGTCAGCTGAGATGAGGTGAGAATAGGTGTAGCAAGGACAGCTGTGGTGAGGGCAGCTGCAGTGAGCAGAGTGTCGGTGCAGTTAGGACAGATGCAGTGACGAGAGGTGCAGTGAGAACAGGTGCATCAAGGACAGGTGCGGTGAGGACACCATGAAGATTCCTGCAGTGTAAACAGTGACACACGTGCCTCCCCCTGCCCAACTTACCCGGGAACCAGATCCACCTTGTTGTGAACTTCCAACATGGAGTTCAAGAGCGCAGGCCGCAGCTGCAGACCTTGCAGTGTAGACAAGACACTGGCCTTCTGTTGCTCTGTGTTGGGATGGCTCATGTCCCTCACATGCAGGATAACATCCTGTGATGGGGAGGAACAGTCAGGGGCCAGAAGTGTCATAGGGAGGGGCAGCAGGGGACAGGAAGTATTAGCCCGAGGAACACCAAGGACACCAAGTCCATGTGGAGGGTGGATCCCAGGACATCTGGCCTAAGCAAAAGGCAGATCCAAGGATACCCATTCATGCAGACAAATGGATACCCACCGAAAGCACCACGTCCTCCAGCGTGGTGGAGAACGACTGGATCAGGCTATGTGGCAGCTGTGACAGGAAGCCAATGGTATCCATGTACAGGACGGGCATGCATGATGGCAGCAACCCCGCATGTGCTGTGACATCTAGGGTTGTGAACAGCTGGTCACATGGCTGCATGGTGGCCTCCCCCGTCAGGGCCTTGATGAGTGTGGTTTTCCCTAGAGCGGACGCAGTTTGAGAATGGGAAACACACACTGCACCCTGGGGACCTTCTCCCACCTGCCCTGTGCTGAGATGTGGGGCTGCACCCCAGGGATCCACCCACACATGCCCTGTGCTGAGATATGGGTCCTATCCCCCAGGGACCCTCCCACATGTGCCCTGTGCTGAGATGTGGGGCTGCACCCCATGGACCCACCTACGCATTACTGTGCTGATATGCAGGGCTGCAGCCCAGGGACCCTCACCACAGTTGGTGTAGCCGACAACAGACACAATGGGGAACTCGCGCCGCAAGCGCTGCTTCCTTAGCACACTCCGCTTTTCCTGCAACCGCACTAGCGCACGCCTGATCTTCGCCTCCTTCTCCTTCAGTGCCCGTTGGCACAGCTCTGTGGATGATTCTCCTGTGAACATGGATATGCAAACTGGTATGTAGGAGCCAGGTGCAGGGGGTCCCAGGGGTGTATCTGTGGGTGCACCCCACTGCATGTAGCTGGTATCCCCCACTGGACACCATGTAACTAATGTTACCCATTGTGACAACTGGGAAACTCTGCAGCTGGTTGGCTGGTGTTCCCACTGCCCTGGACTGTGTTCCCCACTGGAGGCCATGTGGCACCCTCACCTGACCCCATGATGTACCGTGAGCCCCTTCCTTGCTGGTCCGGTTGGGCAGAGCAGCTGCTCAGGGTAGACCTGGGATGGAAATATATGCTTAGTAGGTGTCACTTAGTGAGTTTTGGCACTTGGGTCCTCAGGTCAAGGCCAAGCCCTCCTAGGGCACACTGGACAGAATAGGGTGTCAACCACCAAGGGGTGTGCAGCTGGTATCTCTGTATGGAAGGGGATGTGGGGGTATGGGGTGAGGAAGGGTGTTGGATGAGGAGGAGTGTGGGGTGACCTGCCTGGGCAGGGGTTGTAATGATTTCAGCCACATAAAGCTGATACTTCCAGGTTCTAGGTGCCATGCATGTGCAGACAAGCCCCCAGGCAGAAGTGCCTAACGGCCCCCAGGGATGTTAAAGGGCCTCCCGTGATCCATGTATGACTCAGCTAAGCCCTTGCACGTCTGCCTGAGTCCCGTCACCTGCATATGAAGTAGCCATATCAACCCCTGTGTACATGCGCTAGGCAGTTTTTAAAAGCTGGACGTGCCATCTTCTTCCCTTTCTCTGCACACTGACTTCCCAGGCCTGTGCACACCCCCTAACTTGTTCCGCGTTTCCTTTTAACTTGTGCCAGGTAATTTCAGGAGTGACCCACCAGAGAAGGTGTAACCCACCTGAGCAGGGGGATCTCCGCCAGAGCCAGCTGCAGCCGGGCCTCCTTGGTGCGGGCATTACAGCGGAATATGTGCAGTACCACAGTGAACCTGTCCAACACATGGACACCCCAGGCAGTCTGCAGGGTCTTCTGCCAGGAAATGGGAAAAAGGGTCAGGGGAAGGGGAAAGGCTAGGAGATGGGTGCCAGGAGAGAGGGAGCAGAGTAAGGGATGAGGCTGGGACAAGCGGGTCAGGGGAATGAGGGTCCTGGGGTCAGAGAAACAGGTGAGGCCAGGACACAGAGGTCAGAGACCCAGGAATAGAGAACGGGGTGAGACGGGGACTTGGGGCTCAAAGGGAGGGAAACGTTGGGACACAGGAGGGTCAGGGGATACAGGGACATAGGAAGGGGTGAGGATAGGACACGGGGCCAAAGGAAGGGGTGAGGTCAGGACACGGGGTTCAGGGGAAGGGGTGGAATTGACACACTTGGGTCACAATCACACACTCCATACCTTGGTCAGAGCTGTCATCCTCTCTACATTCAGAAACACACACGTGATGTCCACAGATCCCTTGATCTTCTCTGAGGAGTAGGGGGAGGGGTCCGTCAGTTGCAGGCAAGTCTGGGTGTGCACATGCTACACAAAGAGGGAGGTACACACACGTGCACACTGAGAACCATGCACAAGCTACACTGAGGCGTGTGCATGCTGAGTAACACTGTAACACTGCACAGAAGGAAGCACACACATTCACATAGCAAGAACACGCATGCATGCACAGGCACACCAGTTGGGCAGGGAGCATGTCACACGAAGGGGCGGGATACTTACCCGTCAGCTCCTGGAAGTTTCCTTTGCCAAAGACAAACTTGCTGTCTGGGACCCCCGTGGGCACCACCAGGGTCCGCACCACCGACCAGCCATGCAATGCGCGCACCAGCGCGGCAGCCTCCGCCACCTGATACTCTGTGAGGGGACAGACGGGGGGTAGATGGCGTCCAGCCGCAGCTCGCATGGACCCTGGGGATGGATCCCAGGTTGGCTAGCACACACAAACCCCGCCTGCCCCACCAAAACTCCACGCTGATGCCCATAGCAGTTCCCCTGTCCCCTGTGCGCCTCTCAAGGCGTCCGCACCACCTTTCTTTCTCCTCATACCTTCCCTTCGGAACCCATGCCCACACAGCCTGTCTCCTCCCGCCCCGCCCTTCCGCTGACCTGTGTCGTGCGCCTTCCTTCCGGCGCGGCCCCTGACGTCAGGATGTAGGACGCACACACGCTGGGCCGCAGCGGGCAGCAGTGGTTCCCGGCTCAGCAGCTCCTCCTCCTCCTCGGGCTCCTCTGCGTCCTCCCCCACCACCCCGGCCCCGCTCTCACAGCTGCGGACGTGGGAGCCGCTCCTAACTCCGCCGCAGGGGCTCCGGATGTTGACGCTGCCTGCGCGGGCCGGCTGTGGCGGGCACGGCGGGGCATAGCGAGGGGCCAGGCCGTGGCTAAGCAAGAGCCTGAGCGCTGGTCGTACGGCAGCGCGCGCAGCCGCCATGCTGGGGGCGTGGCCGGAAAGGAGGCGCGTTCCCTGGAGTGGGAGGAGCTGGCAGGGGCGGGGCCTGGGGGTGGGGCGAACAGCAACACCGGGGCTAAGCGAGAACTTGAGCCCAGGAGGACGTCCGGGATGCACGGCCATGGGGACTGGGGCTGGGCCGTTAGGGGTGGGGCGAGCGGCCAAGGCGGGGACGGGGGTGCAAGAGCCAGAGCCCCCCACGAACAGAGGACTGGAAGTCTGAGCGCTCAAAGGCGGCGAGGCGGGGCTCCCAGCGACTGCCCTAGAGATAGGCTTCTGATTGGCGGGAGGCGGGTCCACTCCGGTCCCGGGTAGAGGATACCTACCAAGTCCAGGAGACCTGCAACAGCAAAGGGCTGGGGACTATGACTTAACCCGCTGTGTGGGACACTGTGTGGTACATCGGACACGCATATCCTTAGCCCCAGCTGCAGTGCAGTCACACAGACGCTCTCCAAAGCGAAGGTGATGTATGTGTGTCCGGTACCACAGCTGAGGTGACCTGTGTGTGTATGTGTATGCATGCGCGTGCATGTGTGATGTATATATATATGTGGGTATGTGTGGTGTGTGTGTCACGCTTGGGACTGCACGAGGTGACTTGTGTGCATGTGTGTATGTGTGTCATGGTCGGGTCCTTTTGCCTTGAGCTCAGTCACGTCCCTCAAATGGGTTCCTGGCACAGAACTCAGGTGACAGTTAGTTGACCGTGTGCATTTAGCTGTGGAGGCACTGACCCATCTCCTGATTGCGTTGCCCGTGTCACACATGAGCATCTTGCTGTGTGTTGCCCCAAGTCACACATGAGCATCTAACTGCGCTGCCCATTATCCCACAAGAGCATCTGACAGAATATGGAGTGACAACACAGGGGCCACAGATGGTCATAGACGGTGGACCTAGAATCTGCCCACTTGGTCTGTGTCTTTTTGTCCTCATCTGAGATCAGGAACCACACCAAGTCCATGTAGCTGACTTTTCCATCCTACTGCACCTTCTGCCTACATGTGGGGCTCAGGGAACATGGGGCCTCTCGTGGGGTTTAGATAACTGCTAATAGAGCAGCCCCACCCATCACTCACAGTGACAAAATCACCCACTGACCGCCCACCACCAACAGTGACGTGGGACATGTAGCCCAAACAGCAGCCACGGAGCAGAAGGTATCACAGGTACTGTGACCCTGGTCACATGACAGAGACCAGAGACACTGACACTCTGGAACCACCACCACCCCTTCCTCGACACCTACAGGACCTCACATGACGCAGCACAGAAGCACCTACCACATCAAGGTGCACGAGAAGATCCTGCCAATCATCTCGGAGGAGATGGTCGCAAGAAAAACCAGGCAGGGTAGTCTTTACACTTGATGACTGGAGCCTGGCTGCTCCACCATCCCTGAGCACAGCCCCTCTATCCCAGGCCCCACCCCTCTGTCAAAATACTACTTTCCATACCTGAGCCCTGCTCTCTGCCAATGGTTTTGCCCTCCACACCATAGATCCGCCCCTAGATCTGACAGCCCCATCCCTTCTTCCATTAGCTCTGCCTCTCTATCCCTGAAACCTGCACTCTACCCCAGGCCCCACCCCTCCATCCACAGTCCCTCCCTCTGCCTAAGACTCTGCCCCTCAACTGGCAGCCCCACCCTCCACCCCAGACCTCACCCTTCTAGCCCCTCCATTTGATAGTCCTGCCCTTTGCCCATGGACACACCCTCTGCCCCTACATCTGACAGCTTCACACTCTAACCCCTGCCACATCCCAGGCCTCACCCTCTACCCTATGGCCCCATCCCTGCCCTTCCCTTCCATCCCGATGCCCCACCCCCTCCATCGCAGGCCCCTCCCTCCATCTCGCAGCCCCACAACCCACCCTCACCCTCTGCCCCCCCCCCCCCCCCCCCCCCCCCCGCACTGCAGTCACTGCCTTCACCCCAGGCCCCACCCCCACCCAAGCTCACTGTGGTCTTTACGCTGCACCAGGTCAAAGTCTGTATCTAAGCCCCTGTACTTCTGAGCTCCAACCTCACCTGAGGCCCCATCGTTGTCCCCACCGAAGCTCACACGGTCATTCTGCCTTTCCAGGTCAAGTGCGTCAAAGAACAGGTCATGACCTCTGTAGAGTTTCCAGAACTTGCAGTAGAAGATATTGGTCAGCTGGTTGATGTCAGTCTTTTCTTACAGCAGCGCCACATTCTGTAAGGGGTACCACAGTCAGCCATGCCCTCTCACAGTTGGGACCAGGGTGTATCCTGCTCTATCGACAGGAAGTTCACAAGAGGTGCTCCTCCATAACTGCAGCCCACGCCCTCCCAAGTGGTTCACTTAGACTGTGGGTATGCCCACTCTGGGTGACCAGGAAGTTCACAGATGGACTGCCACCTAATGCCCTCACACACAGTGGAGGAGTAGGTAGGACTTGGCAGGCCACAACCCCTAACTGCAGGCCATGAGCCCCATACACGGGGAAAGTAGAACCTGGGAGGCCCAGCCCTCTGCCTGCAGTTCATGGCTTCTCATAGGGAGGGGAAATAGGAAGGTCCTTGGAGGTCCCACCACTGCTAGAAACTGAAGAATCATTCAGTAATTAAAACCACTTTCATTTCACAAGGCAACTAATCAGAGCTAAGAGCTCTGATGGATGTTTAAACCAAGACACAGGGCAAATTGGCATTATTGCATTTTTTGCAGTAGCTGATTCCCTTTCCGTTACAAATTTGAGAATTCCCACATTTCTGAGATATTTGATCATTTACTGAATACTGTCTTTCCTATGCTTTGGGGTTTACTGATTACACTTCCCTAGCTATGTGTGAAGACAGTTTCTCACTGCCAGACTGTAACATGAATGGGGTGCCTGTTTGTTTGTTGGGGTTTCTGTCCCGCCCTGTACCCCACAACTGTTTAGCCCCAAAGAAAATCACACATAGGTCTCTATAAATTATAAACTGATTGGCCCATTAGCTCTAGCCTCTCACTGGCTAACTCTCACATCTTGATTAACCCATTTTTCTGATCTATGTTAGCCATGAAGCTCAGTACCTTTTTCAGTGGGGCAGATCACATCCTGCCACTTCCGTGGTCTGGGCAGGAATGGGAGGAGTCAGCTCCCTCCTTCCCAGAATTCTCCTGTTCTCATTACATCATTTCTACTTCCTGTCTGGTTTTCCCACCTATACTTCCTGCCTGGCCAATCAGCATTTATTTATAACATAATTGACCAATTACAGACAATTCTCCCGCACCCCCAGGCTGTTTTCCTATGTAAATTCAGGGGTCTGCCTCCCTGCAATTACTTTTATTGACAAGCAATTGGTCAGTGTTTAGGGTCCAGGCAAAAAGCCTGGATATTTAAGATATTCCCAGATATCCAAGCACATAGAATTACTGTGAGTCCCAGTCTTGGCCCTCCATCTTTGAAGGCCACACCCCTGCGCCTGCCAACCCTTGGCGCCTCCCCTGGAGGAGGGTCAAAGCAGCCCGCCAAATCTTGATCACTCCCCCAGTCTATTTAAACTGCTCCCCGGTGAGTCCCTTCGTGGTTTTCCCTCTTTCCTCCCACTCGTGGTCATCTTGGCAGCTTCCTGGTTCCCCTAGGTTGTTGTAGTGAGGAGTGGGCCTCTTGTTTGTCCCAGCTGCCCAGCTAGTTTAACCCCCAAAATAACCACACAGAAATTGTATTAATTAAATTACTGCCTGGCCCATTAGCTCTATCCTCTTATTGGCTAACTCTCACATCTTGATTAATCCATTTCTATTAAATCTGTGTATCACCACGTGAATGTGGCTTACCAGCAAGATTCTAGCCTATGTCCATCTCAGGCAGGAGATTCATGGTGTCTGCCAGACTTTCCTTCTTCCCAGCATGGATATTTCAGTTATACTCCCATTTTGGACAAGATATCTTGGCCCCACAAGTTCACAGGTAAATAAGGAATAATATACGGCGTAAAAGTTCCTTCGTGGCCTTTCTCATCTTCCCAATGCAGTTCATTACTACTCTTCTCAGGATTTCTAGTCTGACCAATTCCTTGTAGCTGTGTAATAGTCTCTGTTTTTGGCCACTTAGAAGGCCACTGGCTGGCGGTTATAACTGAAATATCTGTGCCAGTATCTAGGATGCCAGAAAAATCTTTTTCCATTTATAAACAAAGTGAGTTCTGGTCTCCGAGGGCCTATTGTCTGTACCCAAAATGCATCAGATGAACCAAATTCATCCTCTCCTCTCTTTTCTTTCTTACTCTGATTACTGGTTTGCACAGCTGGAAGTAATATTAAGTATGCAAGCCTCTGACCTGCTTTAACTATGGAAACTCCATTTGGTGAATGAATCATCACCTTGATCTCTCCCTCAAAGTCAGCATCTATGACTCCAGGAGCCACTAAGATCCCTTGCATAGTTGAGATACTTCTCCCTAGCAGTAATCGCACAGTGCATTTTGGTAAAGTCCCAAATATTTCTGTGGGGAGAACTTGCATCCCCATCTCAGCTGTTAGAACTGTGTAAATGACTGAACTGACGTCGAGCCCTGTGCTACCTGGGGGTGGCTCTGAAAAGATCCTATATAGATCTCCATGTGGGGATTCAGATTTCTGGATTGCCTCTGAATCCGTTTCCTGAAAGGGAATTTCCTAGTTCATCTCTTTTTGATCTGCACTAGCTAGTCGAATGCTTTCCTCTCCTGCATCTCATACACAATCCTGATTCTTTTCTAGTTCTAGGGTTTGCTCTCCTATCAGAACATCATCTGACCTGATGTCCCATAAGACTGCATCCAAAACAGCCTCGAGGCATTCCTGAGCTTGTATTTTCCCTGGGGCTAGGTCTCCCTGCTGGGATAAGGCATCATTAATTGTCTTTCCCTGTAAAGCAGCAGCTAATGCTATTCCTTGTGTATATGATTACCCAATATCTGAGCAGATTCAGATATAATCTTCAGCATTACCCTGTTTCTTCAAAGGTCTTATAGCCGCCTTGCATATAGC